TTATCGGCAATCGGAGCACCACTATATGAGTAGTGGATTACAATTATAGGTATATAACGTGACGAACTAACCATAGAGGTATTACATGGTTACTGGATCACGTTTATGATTATTTAGCAATTGTTCCGTAAAATGTGAATGACGAAAAATAATTCTCGATACTACTGCTAACTTAGTACTCTGTTAATTAAATTGAGTATCATTTGAATGATACTAAAAAAGGAGATGAGTAGAAATATCAATGTACATACATCTACAATATTTCTTATCCTAATAAATTTAATGATCGATTGAGATTATTATATTTATTAGGTTTAAACATTTCGGGTATATAGTGACTACTAGTAAAAATCCTTCAATGGTTTGACACTTTATCTAAACAACTGATTTATACAGCAGCCTATCGTTCACATGCTGGGCCGGATGCCGCCTCTGCTTCCGTACCGGACCCCAAACAAACATATCGGGTTCGGTTAATCGCCTGATCATAACAGTGGGATGCGTTTACGACCTTCGTAAGGATAAGTTTAGGTACTATATTCCCATACCGTCCCCTCCGGCCAGATATATTCTATCAGCATTCGTCGAGCTTACATATGGCTGCCAACAGCAATAAAGAATTTCATAATTTATGTCCCAAAATATTATTCCTTAATTGTAGATATGTATGCTATGAAATTATTTAAATGAGCGATTTGATGTTCAATATTAATTAATTCATTTGAAGTTAGATAAAAGAATTCAATTTTACAAAGTTACCTTTATCTATAATTCAAAAGTAAGAAATGACATTTTGTTCTGATTGAATCAGATTTGGGTTATAATCACCCCTAGTCTGTTGTCATAAAAATACGAGTATGTTACTTTTTAAAATAATTTCGATGGAGAGCAATGTAATGAAAATGTATTAATGGTAACCTTTAATTCGGAACTTGTTTTTCAATGAAATATTTTAACGTTTTATAATGATGATTGCTATGATCTATTGTGTGATAATCAACATAGTACCTAGTTTTAGTTGTTTGAATTTAATAAATTACTAATTTCTTCTGAATTATTTAAAACACGTTATCACACTGTTTTAAGAACAATCATAAAATTATTTTGTATGCATTGAAACTAACTACACTAATTGGTGTTTACTTATATATCTTATAATATTTGATTGTTTTTAAGAGTTTACAAAAAGATTTTACGACTTAATTTATTAGGAACGATGATGGATTAAACCATACTAGTAACTTGAAAATACTTAGTTAACAATTTAACGCTTGATAACCTAAGAGTCATTTACTCGGTTAACACATGAAATATTGATTATAAAAATTCTTAAAATATTTATGGTTACGTAATCAATAAATATTTCACTTTTAAAAAAAGATATTTAGGCTTAAGATAAAAGGACCTAAGAATCTTAAAGATTTGATAGGGACAACAGCCTGTTTAGTTTATAAATAAAAAACATCGCATATAGAGTCACACACTAACACCCAGTTTCCGAAAGCGCAATCAATGTTAATTTACCATAAATCTCTTGTCAATCGTTGTTTAACATGATCTGAGTTGCTAGAACGTCTAAAAACAACATTGATTTTGATTTGCAATTAGTCACTGATTAACGGACAATCAACAGAAAATCGAGTTTCTGAAACGTTTATCGGTGGTCAACGAGCAGTCAAAAGTTTTATTAAGTAATCTGTCAATTTGGACGATCAATCGTTGGTTAAAAATGTATTTTATCAAAAATCTTAGTTTTTATTAGAAATAAACATAATTCCCTAATACGTTGTAAGGAAATCCATGTGTTCTAGAAAATGCAATTCAAAAGTTAATAAATAATATAGATTCTTTCTTTTTATAATACTTACTTGTTTATTATGGATAAAAGTTCATTTTTTTCACGTTCTGTAATGTTTTTTTTGACATTTTGCATGTATTTTATAAATTAAATTTTATTATAGCTCGGATTTTTACGTTGGCAATCACACGGTGACAAGACGTTATTTTAAGTTTTGTTTAAAAAGGGACAGCTATACAATAGAAAGAGTTAGTTGAAGTAAATCATTCATTTCATTCATTATCATTGATTATACAGTGATTAGCTAATTTTTCTTGAAGAAACCTTCCAGAAACCCAAGGCAGCTTAACAAGAGATTAACAGCTGATCATTTTTGACATAGTGTTACGTGATTGCTGCTTTGATTGGCCTTTCGGAAACTGGGCATTAATCTTTTACTTTATTTGGTTCAAACATAAAGTTTGTGACAATTTTTTAAAAGCTACGGAGTCCTATGCGAAAGCCTTACAATATCAAATTGAAGTAAATTATGAAAGCACAACATAGAAGTTGTAACAACAAAAGTATTTGGGTCATTTCGGTTTTCACGTTTTTGGGGTTCACGCCTAAAAGACAGTGTCAATTATGCACTCAAACGTCTCCGTAGCTAGTCTCGCAACTTGTTGGGATTAAGTTGATAAGTCGTTGAGGAGACAAGTTCCCCTTGACAAGACAAGTGACATGCAACTTGAGTGCTGTTTGACGATATCTTTATAAACTACCGTTAGTCTAATGTCTAAGTTTGTGCTGAAGGTCGAGAAATGTCAAATGTCGAGTTACATTTGCGTCAATATATAAGCTTTGATATTTAACAAGTTATAATAAACACTTATTAATAGTTGCATAAAATTTTACTATAAATAGGAATAGAGTATTCTACATATTATTATCTTTATTTTTAATAACTAAACGTAAGATGTAAAACTAGTTCAAATATTTTTTTTTTAATAAATTATTATTTTTAAACGAGGTTTTAAAGTTTAAGAAATCTTTAAAAGAAAGAAAGAAGTTTTTTGTTTCTTTCTTTCTCAGTGGTTTTTGTAAAACCAATAATTAATAAAATAAATATTTGCAAAAAGTGTTTCGTCCTCACTTTTCCCGAGGTCAAAGAATTTACAGAATTTAAAAACAGTTGATTTAAAAGTACCCTTAAATTTATATTATATCTAAAGAAACAATTACAATTAAACAAACGAACAAAAACACAAATTAAAATAAAAGATAATGTTATGATTTTAAAGTCAACATCATATCACAATGCCACACACAATATTTATATTATGATCAACCATCTTATAAAAAAATTAAATTCTTCTCGGAAAGTTTTATGTTTGTATAATATCATTAAAAAGTTATCCTTACTAATATTATAAAGGCGAAAGTTTGTATGTATGGATGGATGTTTGTTACTCTTTGACGCAAATACTACTGAATGGATTTTAATGCAACTTTACAATAATATAGCTTAAATATCAGAATAACACAAAGGCTATAATTTATATACACATTTTATGTCTATCGGTCTTTCTGTCTGAATGTTACGTCTTCAGCCTATTCCACGCAGACGTAGTGGCGGGCAGCAGCTAGTCAGTAATAATTGTGAAACTGCCTAATCAAAATTATTTAAAACTATATAGACTGTTAGTGGTGAGAAATAGAATTTTTGTAATTTTATTTTAGGATTTATACATATTGTGTAATATACTACTAATCTTCTTTATTACGAACTATTCAGGTGGCAGAGTTGTATGCATTTATCCAAACAAGCTTTCTTCTCTTTCATACCTCACGAGAAATTCTCGATCTCTAGCATTATTCATGACACTTCAAGTTAATTAAAATGTAACATGCAATATAAATTACAAAACTGTCGTCAAACGTCGCCTACATATTTCACAATAGGTTTTACATAAGTTTAACGTAAAAACACATAAACTGAAGGTGCACTCAAGGAAATCACACTCAGACCGGAAATAAGCATTACTAGGCATTGGCATTCCACTATTTTTATCAATAAAATACTAATTAAATCCTACCTATGTACCTACTCCTTATTTTATATTCTGTTGGGCAACCAGCTAATGTTAACCCTTATACCATCAGATGTTCTTGTTTCTGCTAAGTGATATACGTGGCGGATTAGCCCATACAAGTAAAATATGTCCCTAACAAATGAAATGAACATACTTTAAAATTTTTACGTTTACTCAGTAAAACTAATAGTTTAACTAATCATATCTTCTACTTAATATTACTAAATACCGTACCTAACTAATCAATGAAGTATTTGAAAAAAAAAATCAATAATTTTCTCCTTTTAAATTATATTAATTTTGTAACAAATACTTACTTACATACAACTTTATTTAAATAATTTGAAAAATATTAAAACTATTGAACAATTTAATTTCATTTGCTGTGATATTTTGAGACATAGGCTACGTGGACCAAAATAGAATATAAGTAGAAAAAAATTTGCGCATCTGAAACGATAATATCAACGCAGTTGTATTACATGTTTATATGTATAAATAATGTTACAAATCTATAATTAATAAAATTTAAATAAAACCTGATATAAGAATATTAGGAAAATTTCTAAATAAATACTTTTTCATACTAACTAATGACCAGTTATTTTTTTTTTTTTAATTTTGCAGTTTAAATTATTAATGTTTTAGAAAATAATTTAAATTTTTTATGCATGTACCTGACCATATATTATTATTAAAATAAAGAATTAAACATACCGAACGATAAAGAATTAAAAAAGATAAAGCTATTTGCTTTACCTTTTTAATTCTTTTAAATATCGATTTTAAAGCATAAATTTTTAGTGAAAATATTAAAAAGATAACCAATACTCATATTTATGCGTAAAACATAAAATTTATGTTGACACATTTCACTAAAACTAATTTGATTTTATAATAATATTTTTTCTTGAATTGACGTTACTTAATTAAAAAATATTTTTGTTTAAATAATCTTATTATTATTATTTAGATCTATAAAAGTAATTCCGAATATATATCCATCATGGAAATACTAACTTATTCTTTTAGTTTTAAACCGTTACACCATAATAACGGAAGAAACTAACGAAGCACAACAAGCTTCAACGATAGACAAATTTGATCCTTATAAAACCTATTCAACTTACCGTTGAAACAGGTGAGCAACCACAATAAAGCGGTGCACAGTTGCGTGAAAGAAGCACGCCTGGCTTCCCGCCGCCGCACCATCTCACCAGAATCATCGAACCTCACTGAACCAATATACCACCCCCGAGAGGACACTCAATATGAACGACCTACGGAATTCGACCCTCGGGCTATATCGAGTGACGTAATAGAAAGTTCGGAAGGATCGTGTGGTGAATAAGACACGTCCGCTCGCGACGCAGCGTCACGTAGAACTAAGCGTACAGGGTAAAGCTCCCAGCGCAGGGCGGGGGAGGTTCGAAATGTTTTGGATCTTCACAGTTCACACAGCCATTTCCCTCCAAGTGCGGGGGCCACGTGCCTGGATCAGTCAATTTTGCGTGTAAATTGCTGATGTTGCTATTTGTATTTTTATTGCCGTTGTTAAATAGCCGTTTGTTACTGTATACCGATGTTAACTGCTTTCTTCCGGTTATTAATGTTATATATATTTTGAAGATATTTTCAGATAGCCTCTTATCAAACTTATTTCCAAAATGACATTAATGTCTGTTATTCCTATTTCATTAATTGTGTTTCAATTTGACTATAAAAAGCATCGTGTCTATATTTTTAAAGTGTATAGTGTACTTTACTTTAATTAAAAACTTGTAATTATTTTCTAATAAGTATACGTTTTACATACAGGTATCTAAAAACGACAGTTTGAATGCATTTCACAGCAATGCAGAGCATTAATAATTAATTAAAAAAATAATGACTGTCTCTCTTCTGTAAAAATATATATCACATCAAAAACATAAACATGAAATGAGAGCCATGTTCAATATACATGTGAGATCAAAATGGGTGCTAAAATTCAATGGTTAGTTTTGAAATTAATTAATAACAAGGTAAAATATTTTATAACAACTTAAAACATAATTTTTTATTAAGACTTAGGATAATATACTGAAGCCTAAAGTCTAACTTGACTAGTTTTCGTGTACGAATTATATTACAGCCTTCGCAACTTCCAAAGCTGTAACTTCTTACTTTATTCTTCCGAAAATTTGCCTGGCTGATAGAAACTACTCATTGAACATAAGGACCTTAAATGAGTATTATGTACTTTATAATAATTATATATTATGTGATCTTCTTGTCAAGAACTTTTTTCTTTAATACAGTAATGATAAATTTAAAGAATGTTTTTGCACTGAATTTATAATTAATTATACTAGCGAACCGACAGACTGTCCTGTAAGGACGACTTAAATCCGAGAACAACTTATATACAAAAAAAAAATTAAAAAAAAATCTCCAATCTACCTGAAGACACAAAAATCATTAAAATCAGTCCAACCGTTTAGGAGTTCAGTGACCAACACAAGTAAATATATAATTAATATATACCTATAAACATAATCGCAAGTCATATTTTTATATCCATAAATTTAAATACATAAAAATGAATTTCCTGCCAATTTTAAACATAAATAAGTATGAGAAAAAGTCTCATAGCAGTATCTTAATAATGTAAAGGAAAACAAAGGGCAAAGAAAAATTACGATTTGATTTTATAACGATAAAGCCTCCGCATACCGCGAAGTCGTATAAAAGTTGTCGGCGATGCTCAAACTTTATCCAAGGCAATACTAGGCCATGATATCGAAATTCTCTGCTAAGTCATGTTGCAAAAATCCAGTGAAAAACTTTGTGGTTGCTCTTTGATTTGAACTTTCAGTCATATAATGTGCTCGATTTGTGTTGCAATTACGACATAGTTTTATTTTTTATTCTAGTATAGTTACTAGTTATTACTTATGTGTATATTTTGTTAAAAGAACAGTCATGGTTTTCTTTTCTTTTTTTAGCGCTTGGTAATTGTTCAACTGAATTTTTAAAGATGCTGTGTCTATGTAGTTTTCTTCTTATTAGTTGTAAATTATAGTCTAATTTTCTTTTTATTAGTTGTAAATTATATTTACTCATACAAAAGGCTAGGACTATTCAAACTGAATTGTTTAACTTTTAGTATAAGGGTTAACTAAAAATGAAGTAATTATAATGCATATGAATATTAATAACGTGGAAAGAGTCTGCGTTTTATGCAAAAATGCAATAAGTTTTATATTACCATATAAAAATTTAACAGAGTTGCTATTTGTATTATGCATCGCATGTCACCAGTGAATGCTGAGTAGGGCCTTCATTATCATAAGTAAACAAACTTCAGCACTTTTCATAGAACAAGGAGTCCAATGCGACCTCATCGCTAACTATTGTTATTGCACGTAAATACGGTTTACTGAATAAAGCATATCTAATATATAAAATTCTCGTGTCACGATGTTTGTAACTGAACTCCCCCGAAAAGGCTCGACCCATTTTGGTAAAATTTTGTGTACATATTGGCCAGGGTGGAGAATCGGACAACATCTACTATTCATCCCCCTAAATGTTAAGGGTGGTCCACCCTAAGCATTTTTTTCTACCATACAAATAATTTATATGGCAAAACAACGTTTGCCGTGACAGTTAGTATTTTAATAAAAAAGTAAGCACAGATATATCTACTTTATATATACGTACCTTTTTACATAAGAAGATGAAATGGGATCACTAGTTATCGTTTTTTATATTTAAATGCCTTCTATAGTGAAGAAACCAAGGCCGCAGCGCCTCCATTTTGTTCTATATTTTCATGCAGAATTGCTAGAAGGCTGAAAACGAGGGGAACGTTCATTTGCATAAGAAGTTGCACAACATAACGTTCCTTTTAACCCACTTGCGTAAGAAACTGAATAGTTATTACCTCTTCCGTTAAAAATATGTAGTATTAGACTAGTTATCTCATAACCAACCATATAAGTTTTGTTAAAATAATGATTATTAAAGTACTTTAGGTTAATGACTATTAATAACATTGTTCTTTTAATAATTGACGACATTGTTGGTTATAAAATAATTAACAGAAGCAGTAGTATATCGGTTGTCAGTCGTTGTGTGTAACATAGATAATTACTGTAATAGTGGTTACAAGCGTGTTTGATTTTAGAAGAATTAAAATTGGGAAAAATCTTGGAATGTTGGCTTCATATTGTGGGAACAACTTGCAATTAAAATTGCCACTCCATAATTAATTAAAAAAATATTATATCCAGCTTATAAATATATATGGAATATGTGTGCCAACTTTGTAAGAGGACTATCCTAACACTTCATATCCACATAATGTCGTGACTTGTTGCCATTCAACTTAAAAATATTATCAATATGTTGTTTAATGTGAGTTTAAGACGAAGAAATCATAGGGCACTCAGGATCAGACCGTCACTGATCTCCAACTTCGAGACTTGTTTGTTGTTTGTCAGTCTCTGTCAAAGTACAAGTGACGCTCATGGCTTTTCATTCCACAGGCTTCACGGATAAAGTTTGGATTGTTCTTTTAGTCACGTTTTATTTTACACAGGTGGTGCATACTTTAAAAATAACTCATAAATATTATAAACTAACTGCTGCACGCGACTACGTCTGCGTAGATTAGGCTGAAGTCGTAACATTCATCACAGATATACATAAAACTATGTATTATTCTGATGTATAAGCTATGTTATTGGAAAGTTTCATTAAAACCCATTCAGTAGTATTTGCGTGAAAGAGTATCAAACATCCATCCATAAATACAAAACCTCGCGTTTATAATATTAGTAAGGATTTCCTATAAAATCTTAACCTGAATTCGAATCTAAATATTCATAACAAATCAACTTCTCAAGTATTGCATTTTCTAACCAGTTGCATAAGTTTGGCATTACATGTGAGGTCACGGATCGATCAATTCAGTCTGAACGCAGTATATGTGGTTGACCTGACGTAAATACAATCGAGAGACTTGCAACAGCTGAGATTCTTTAATGCGATGAAAGAAATCATGTATGCACATATTTATCAACAATTAACTTACATTTTCAGCATTATTTAAACCTTATATATATAGTAGAATAACGAATAACTTACGCAATTCAACTTATATTTTTTTTTTGTTTTGGTTTTGGTATTGATTTTAAAATCATACACGTACGGTTGTTATAAATATTAAAAACAGAAAATACCTTAAGGCGTCAAAACAACATATAAAACATTCGATCTGAAATGATCGATTATCCTCAACACTTTATGAAAAACATTTATGTTACCGAAATATGTAAGTTACTTTTAGTTAATAATGGGAACAAGAGAAGTGACTAAATGTAATGCGATTTTCAACTATATACACATTATTCTTTTTATTTTTCTTTATTTATATGTTAGTGATTCCTTGATAAAAACAGATAGTCAAAAATTAGCGTTGACTTCTTTTGATTTTCTCTAAACAAAGAAAGATGAGAACTGATGCCATAACTTTAAAATACATTATCATAACTATGTGGCTAGGAGTTAGAACCACATACATATTGAAATTACCAATAAAACAATGTCTTATTTAAGTAAGTAAAGTTGAAATTATCCACATAAAACTTAAACTAAGAGGAGTTTTGGGTTAGCTGACATTCAGTTAATTACAAAGAAAAACAAACACGGTCACAAGTATATAAACTGTGTAGCGTTGAATTAGGGTTGTAAAATCAAACGAAGGTCAAGGAACTGTCCCGAGCTTATTTATTGTGTCGTTTGTATCTACAATAAAATATCTTAATTCCTAAAAATAAAATTAACATGGATTGCAATTAAATTCTTAAGGCTATCTGTTCAAACTATAGTTTGACCAATAATCGTTTTATTAAACAACTATTTAAAAATGTATTACTTTCTTCCTGTTCTTTTAAGAGATTGAAGGAATACTTAAGCACTGCTTCATGTTTTGTTTTATTATTTTTTTATGTGAAAAGTTACCAAACGAGCAGACGGTTCACCTGATGGTAAGTGAACACCGCCGCCCATGGACATCTGCTACACCCGAGTGTTACAGATGCGTTGACAACCTTTTGAAAATTGGGCTCCGGCTACCTCACTCACCAGACGAAACGCGAAAGTATTTGACATACTTCCACTTTACACTTGTCTTCTGTGAGGTCGTGGTACTTACCCGGACGGGC